ACAACAACCTTTTTCATTATCTAGTTGTTTTCCCACTGGATCACCCCTACACACAAACACACACACACACACACACACACACACACACAGTGGTTTGTAGAAGTATAGAAACAGTTCTCAGTTCTCACTGTCAATGTTTTGTGAACAGGATCTGAAATCTTGTGAATTCTCCCACAAGGGGGTGGAGGGCCCAGAGATAAAGAACAACTTGCAGAAGTATTCAGACTATTAAAAATAATCTGAGATGGCATGTAGGTAACTGAACCATGCAGAGATACTCCTTCCTATGTACAAGTATTTTAAAACCAGAACAGAGAATAGATATTCCTGCAATACAAACAAAGAGCATTGTCAAAACTCAGTGAGGGAGCAGCAGAAACATGAAGAACATTTAAAATAGTGTATATGATACAGACCACATTGCCATCAAGATGTGATAAGGAGAATATTAACCCAAAAAAACTTACCTCTGAACCTCCACTGGAAATTTTAAAGTGCTTTAAACTTTTGGATTAAAGAGAAAGGAAAACCTATAGATCACAACAGAGGAGCCTTCTAGTGTGGAAGATACTTCCAGCGGGAAGTTATCAATTCTTTCGAAATAGGGGTGAGGATAGAGAAGGGAAACAAAGCATCAGCTAACAAAATCAGGAGAGTGTGGAAAGTGCCAAACCATGATAGTAGACCGTCTGAAAGGTATTTATTGTCAAACAACACATGAACTGAACAAATTTAGGAAGAAGTATAAGGGGATTATGCTAACTAATAAAGATAGAAGGAAAAATACCTGAAATGAAGAGAGAGTGAAAAAGGAACATTGCCCAACAAAACAAACCAGTTTTGTAAAAGCCAAAAAAGCAGAAGCGTCCCGAGTAGCTTTAATCACAGATAACAAGTTAAAAAATAAACTTCAAATAATGTTTGGTCCAAGTGAATCCCTTTTTGTGTGTGTATGTCATCATAACTCAAAGTTGTGAGATAGTGAGCGGCTAACACCATAGCAAAGGCAGAGAGGGGGATGAGATTTGACGAATCAGGCGAAATCCTGTGCAATAGGATAGCACGGGAATACAAAGGAACGATAATTGCATCAACTGTATACTTGCATTAGGAGCCCTGATCTTACAGGTTGGCCTTTGGTAACCTCCAGCTATGTCTCAGGAGAAAGATGTGGCATCTGCGGGTCTTCAGATGTACACCCTTGGAAACCTTCTGGGGTTCCCTACTCTGTCTTATGGGGTTACTACGAGTCATAACGAACTCAACAGTAGAGGGTTTTACAGGAGGTTTTACTAGGCCTTTCATAATCACAAGTAAACTGTTGAATAACAATGCTCCCTACTAGCACAGAAAATTGCAAGAAATAATAATCACTAGGGAGTCTATTTCCTCAGATACTCTGGGGGTGGGGTGGGGCAAGGGGGATTGAGAAAGAAATTATAGGGAAGGCAATGGGACTACTCAATAAAAAGTTGTGTCATGATCTCAAAAAGTGGTTTGGAATGTCTCGAGTTTGGAATATCAGGATGTAAGAATCCATTTAAAACAACTGACAGGGGCCCGATTTTGTATGCATCCATCGTGGATGGTGTTACCCCAAAACCAACAGCCCTAAAATGTGAGTTATTTCAAGTCCATAACCTGACCACGTTGACCTGGAGGAAAGCAAAGAGCTCTGGTTTCAAATCTGAGCTTTTCTATTGAACTGCTCTGTACTCTGAGACAAGTAACCTAGTACATCTATACCTCAGCTTTCTTGCTCATCTATGAAGTGGGAATACCACTGATGTTACAGGGTCCTTTTGGAGGCCTGGTAGGGCATGATCAAGGGCAATGTAACAGAGGAATTACTGAAACACAAATCAAGGCATGATAGAGGGACAAGAGGAAAGTAAAAGGAAATAGAGGAAAGGACTGGGAGGCAAAAGGGCATTTATAGAAGTCTAAATACAGGCATGTACATATGTAAATATATTTATATACGATGATGGGGAAATAGATCTATGCACATATATTTATAGGTTTAATATTAAGGTAGCAGATGGACATTGGGCCTCCACTCAAGTATTCCCTCAATGCAAGAACACTTCGTTCTATTAAAATGGCATTCCATGATGCTCACCTTCCTGACACGATCGCTGAAGACAAAGCAGGTACATAAGCAAATGTGGTGAAGAAAGCTGATGGTGCCTGGCTATCAAAAGATATAGCATCTGGGGTCTTAAAGG